AGATTTCTCACAAGAGCCGAGAATAATCAAATATTGATCACTTTGTATCTTTATACAGTGGCTTTATTTTTGTTGAGTCAAATTACAGTGGGTAAAATTGTTCCCTATTATCGGCTCTCGTGAAAGATTTTTTACATTAAGAGCCTAGGATAATCAAATACTGATAACCCTGTATCTCTACACAGTGGTGAAATTGTTTTCCATTACCAGCTTTCGTGAAAGATTTCCTACAAGAGCCGGGAATAATAAAATATTGATCACTCTGTATCTTTATACAGTGGCTTATTTTCATCGAGTCAAATTACAGTGGGTAAAATTGTTTTCTATTACCGGCTCTTGTGGAAGATTTTTTACATTAAGAGCCGAGAATAATCAAATACTGATCACCCTGTATCTCTACACAGTGGTGGAATTGTTTTCGATTACCAGCTTTCGTGAAAGATTTCTCACAAGAGCCGAGAATAATCAAATACTGATCACCCTGTATCTCTACACAGTGGTGGAATTGTTTTCGATTACCGTAGGATGGTGTGACATTGCAACTTGCGGGGAACTTTACACAGACATGTATATTTTTTTCTTAAAATTAATATTTTTGAAATGTGACAATGTAACAAATTTTTTGCTACACAAAACGGTCAAATACTTGCTGAAACATGTCTGCCCTAGCAACTGGTGGTTTAGTGGTTTTCGTTACTTTGCAATGTAAACATATATAAATTGTGCATTTTGACGTTCTCGAACGAAGGACAAATGCTAAGGGATCCTCAGCTTCCTTATCAAGGTATGTATTCTATTATTGATATATAGTACTAAGTATTACTCTTTGTGAACACATTTCAAGGTATTTCAGAAACTCAATCATAAACATGGTAAAAATATTTCAAATTTCCGACGGTAGTGTGACTTTACACATTTTTTTTTTTCAAGAAAATTTGAAAATGGGCCGTATTTATAAGAAAAAGGTTGGTAGCCGCCCTTACAAAAATTATAACAATGAATCCCTTGAACGCACTATGCAATTAGTAAGAAACGGATCTTCCTATAGAGAAGCTGCTGCCAAGTTTGGAATGCCATGGAAAACCCTATGAAATAAGATGAAGGCCAAGCACACCAATAGTGTTGGCAGTCCCACACTTCTTATTTTACAGAGTTGGCAGAACGACATCTTGTTGATGTTCTCCTAGTTCTCCTAGCGGCGGCGGAATTCGGTAGTCCGTTAAGGGCGTTTGATATACTTTTAAGTTCCTGAAAAACTTTTGTTCTTTTAATATTTAAGTTGAAGTGTACCTATATTTTCCAAAGAATAATCTAGTTTTTTTTATTTCTATTTTTTGGTGTTTATTTAGAGAGAATCTTGTTTATTTTTTGACCAAAATATATTAATTTTGTGCCTTGAAGGGTATATTTTGTTTTATTTTCTACGTTTATGATGTTTCTCGTTCAAAAAAAAAATCACAGGGTAGGTAGGTTACCTTTAAAACTTTTTTAAAACATAAATATTGTGTAAAGTCACCCTCAGAACGCACAAACATTGAAAAACCTAACACATTTAACCAGTGTGTAATTTCACACCATTGGAGGGAAACTTTACACACATTTTGAATTTTTAAAAAATATATCTGTCTGTACTTTTTTGAAAAATATTATAACCTGATTCGTTAGGAAACATCCGAATGTAGTACATATATCCGCCACTTGAATATGGCATCATGATTTAGGTGATTTTCTTTGTCAAATATCAAAAACTTGTTGCAAAGTAACACCATCCTACGGTACCAGCTTTCGTGAAAGATTTCCTACAAGAGCCGAGAATAATCAAATATTGATCACTTTGTATCTTTATACAGTGGCTTTATTTTTGTTGAGTCAAATTACAGTGGGTAAAATTGTTCTCTATTATCGGCTCTCGTGAAAGATTTTTTACATTAAGAGCCTAGGATAATCAAATACTGATCACCCTGTATTTCTACACAGTGGTGGTATTGTTTTCGATTACCAGCTTTCGTGTAAGATTTCCTACAAGAGCCGGGAATAATAAAATATTGATCACTCTGTATCTTTATACAGTGGCTTATTTTCATCGAGTCAAATTACAGTGGGTAAAATTGTTTTCTATTACCGGCTCTTGTGGAAGATTTTTTACATTAAGAGCCGAGAATAATCAAATACTGATCACCCTGTATCTCTACACAGTGGTTGAATTGTTTTCGATTACCAGCTTTCGTGAAAGATTTCCTACAAGAGCCGGGAATAATAAAATATTGATCACTTTGTATCTTTATACATACAGTGGCTTATTTTTGTTGAGTCAAATTACAGTGGGTAGAATATTGTTTTCTATTACCGGCTCTTGTAAAAGATTTTCTACATTAAGGGCTGGTATTTCAATGTCACCTTAAGGTAGAGAATAACGTTGAGTCATCCTTAATACAAGTTTCAACGTAATTCAAGGTGGATCTTGATTTTGAGCCACTTGAATGAACTCATTTCAAGTTCACCTTAACGTTAAGGGTACCTTAGGTAAGTCTTGATCTTAAGGTAACATTGAAAGACCAACTCTAAAAGAGCCGGAGATAATAAAATAATATTCACCCCGTATATTTACACAGCGGTGGAATTATTTTCGATTACAAGCTTTCATGAAAGATTACCTATAAAAGCCGAGAATAATAAAATATTGATCACTCTGTATCTTTATACAGTGGCTTTATTTTTGTTGAGTCAAATTACAGTGGGTAAAATTGTTTCCTATTACCGGCTCTGGTGAAAGTTTTTCCACATTAAGAGCCGAAGATAATCAAAAACTGATCGCCCTGTATTTCTACACAGTGGTGGAATTGTTTTCGATTACCAGCTGCCGTGAAAGATTTCCTACGAGACCCGGGAATAATAAAATATTGATCACTCTGTATCTTTATAAAGTGGCTTATGTCTGTAAAATTACGCAGTGGGTAATAGTATATTACATACCGAGGCGGAAAGTGTTTCATTACTGTCGAGAGATTTCTCGAGACCGTAATGAAACTTTTCACCGAGGTATGTATACTATTTTATTTACAATCATTCGAATTTTGAAATTTTTATTTGAATTAAAACTAAAAAATACAATAATTGACAATTTCATTTACTTTCGGCCCACGGGTCGAAAGTAAACTTTTGACCCGTGGGCCGAAAGTAAAAGTCAAAAAAGTGACATTTTCGAACTTTTTAAAAGTCAGTAAACTCAACTCAACTCAAAATCTTTATTTACAAAATTACATATGTTATAAAATTCAGGTAGGGGGGTTAGGCCCCCCTCAAACTAAACAATAAAACATTAACTTAATACTAGGACAGGACTACTTAACTTACACTCAACATGGCGCAGCATGTTGTTGTCACATGCGCGCCTGGCGCGCTTTGTGACCTTGCGTAGTTTGCCGGTGTTCTGGCAACGCAGCCCTATTCCTATCTTTTCTTTTAACCTCGCACTCGACGTTTCCAGGTTGCCCTCACACGTCACTTGTATGACTCTCGTCACTGGCCTATACCACGAATGGTAAACATTGGGCCGATACATCGGCCTGCTCGAAGATTTGGGTGGTGCTCAGAGTAGGGGTTGCTAAGCGCGCAGCGCCCGTTCTACGGGAAAAACATTGAAAAAACCCGTTTTTAATTACCTTATTTTTTTAAATAAACAAAAACAAAAAAGTCGTGCCTCGTAAGGCAGTGGGGTCCAATGGACGCAGTCTCGACACCAAATGAGTGAGCTCAGGGGTATGTGCGCGTGAGCGCGGGTTTGGATTGAAGGGGGTCGGCGAACCCTGCACCAAGTCCAATCCGATGCCCTGAAGGGTCATAGGTAGCGGTTTGGTGCAAGTGAAGGAGATTGTGTGGGATGTCAGAGAATGAATTGGAGGGATTACAAAAATTACCTGGGTTTAAGGGGGTTCGAAATAAATCGGTAGATTTTTGTATGGGGGGCCATGGACTATGGGGTTGTCTGGATCATATCTCGTTGCGGTGAGGTTTCGCGTGAGGGGAGAACCGCTGGTCTGATTTCTGTAGAATTTGTCACTGATTTCGTCCAGGTAGTCAGAGATATAGGGAATGTATGCTTGCGCATGAATGTCCCTAATTCTGGCGTACCTGGACTCCGACAGGACTCCCCTCAGGATGCGATTCTGAAACCGCTGAAGGCGGTTTCTTTGTGTTCTTGAGATTATGTTCCAGACAGGGGCCCCATAGGTTATCATAGGTCTGAGGACCTGCTTGTATATGAGGAGTTTATTATCTGGGGATAGGGATGAGTTGGGACCGATGAGAGGATAGAGTTTTTGCTGCGCACTGAAGGTGCGAGCCAAGGCGTGGGAAACATGATGGTGGAACTTCATTCTCTGATCGAAAAGGATTCCAAGGTATTTGGCTTTCGGGGACAGAGTGACGGGGATGTTATTGACGATAAGTGGGGTGGGCATGGTGCTATTGGTATGCTTCTTATGGAAGCATATGAGCTCCGTCTTTTGACCATTAACACCAAACTTCCACTTATCGTAATAAGGTTGAAGGATTGCAAGGTGATGGGCAAGTTGAAATTTTGTTGCTTGGGTGTAAAAGGATTGAGCGTAAACAGCGGTGTCATCCGCGTACAGAGCCAGTTTTGTATTCTGGAATTTTGGAATGTCCGCTGTGTACAGAGAGTACAGCAGCGGACTGAGTGCCGACCCCTGCGGCACTCCGGCCTGAATTGGTTTGGAATTTGAGAGGGCGTCGTCTTGTTTGACGCAGAAAGTGCGGCCGCTGATAAATGACTGTATCAGGGAGATGATGTGTAATGGGAAGTTGAAAGTAGCGAGAAGTTTATAGATAAGGCCTGAGTGCCAGACCCTATCGAAGGCGCGCTCCATGTCCAGGAGCAAAAGAGTCGTGTTCATGCGCCTGTTGAACCCTTGAAAGACGTCGCAGCAGATTTTGGCTGCAAGGAGAGTTGTGTTGTGACGGGGGCGGTAAAAGTCAGTGTCAACATTACATGTATGATTGTAAATAAAATTGTTTTCTATTACCGGCTCTCGTCAAAGATTTTCTACATTAAGAGCCGGAGATACTCAAATATTGATCACCCTGTATCTTTACACAGTGGTGGAATTGTTTTCGATTACCAGCTTTCGTGGAAGATTCCTAAATATTGATCCCTCTGTGACAATTCGTTAGAGCATCTCCGGCAGTTTCAGTTTCAACTTTTGTCAGATCAGGAAACTTCACAGTGGTGTAAAATATCCATTTTTAATTATTTTTATCAATATAAACAATACGAAATTGCAATAAATAAATTAACAAATAAATAATAAACACAATTTTCTATAGGATATTATAATTACAGATTCCTGTAATATTTAACATATTTACAAGTAGTGATTAATAGATGACGCCACTAAATTTTCCATTTAAAAACCACATTGCGCCATACATAACCTCACTTTTTTGTTTTGAAAACTTTTTCAAATATTCAAAAGTTTGAAAATGGAACATCCAACATTGAAAAACATCACTAATCCAAACTTTGGAAAACCCTCGGACACCCAAAACGAAGTAAGTTTTACACCCCTTCAAATAAACTCTAATTCGAATTTTTCCAGTATTTGAAAAAATTAGGTGAGCCCCACATAGCGGGCTTCAACTACATGATAGACCAAGGCCTAGACAAAGCAATTTCGAACCTCAACCCGGTCGAATTCAAAGTAAACGACCAGCAAATTAAATTGGTTATAACCAGGTTTTCTTTGGCTCAACCCCAAGTGCCTTACGGCACTGTCGGTGTAAGAAACAACTTGATTTATCCTACGGAATGTCGCCAAAGGAATGCCACTTATAGTGGCAAATTCCTCATAGACGTCGAATGGTATATTGATGGGCAATTGCAGCAACCTTTTACCAAAGATTTGGGAAATATTCCTGTAATGGTTAAATCTAATAGGTGCAATTTGGATAAGTTAAGTCCTAAAAAATTGGTTGATTATGGAGAACACGAGCAAGAATCTGGGGGGTATTTTGTTGTTAGTGGCCTGGAAAAACTTGTCAGAATGCTATTAATGACCAGAAGAAATTATCCAATTACTATTAAAAGAAGTGGTTGGAAAATGAGGGGTTCTTTGTTTTCTGATGTAGGGGTTTCGATTAGGTGTGTTACAGATGACCAAACAGCTACTGTAAGTTTTTTGAAAAAAAAAAAAATTGGTTTTAATTATTTGAGTTTTTTTTTTTAAGACAAATGTGCTCCATTTTGTGACTGATGGTTCGGCGAAATTTATGTTTAGCTATCAAAAAATGCTTTACTATGCCCCCTTGTGTCTACTTCTAAAATGCTTATGCGACTATAGTGATCAGTATATCTATCAGAAGCTTATTGAAGGTTGCGAAGATGATCTTTATTATATTGAGTAAGTAATAGGAGGATATTTGCACATTGATTAAATTTAATTGGAGTCTTATTCTTGAAACCAGGGAGTAGCCTTTAAAAGACAAACGATGTCCTGTCTTTGTTTGTTCTATTTGTATTTGCATAAACATTGACAAAAATAGAAAAATGGATCTCATTGAGAACACTACTGTTTTCCGCTTTTAAAAATAGAGGTCTGATTGTGACATCATTTGATAGTAAATTGCGGTGTTGTCAAATGTTAGTATAGGTTATTTTTTTGAAATTCAAATTTTGAATATTCCCGGCTTTTGATTGGCTTTATAGAATTTTTTTTTTTTTTTTTTTTTTAATTTTCTTGCCTTTTGATTGGCTTAGATATTGAGTTTTTTAATATTCCCTGCTCTTGATTGGTCTATGAACTCAACTTTTTAATATTCCCGGCTTTTGATTAGCTTAGAAATTTCAAGAGCGAATAGAAAAAACATGAATGTTCCCTCTCTCTCTATTTCCTAATTTTTCCTGCTCAATTTTTCTCTATTTCTGACTGTTGAATTTCTTCGAACAAAAAAATTTTTCAGGCTCTTGATTAGCTTGAAAATTCATTTTTAAAATTTTTCTCCCTTCTGGCTTACAATTTCAATTTTTAAATATTCAGGGCTCTTGATTAAGTTTAAAATTCAAAATTTTAATATTCCCAGCTTTTGATTGGCTTTGAAGTTTATTTTTTCAATTTTCTCGCCTTTTGATTGGCTTAGAGATTCAATTTTTCAATATTCCCTATATAATATTAATTGGTTTAGAAACTCAACTTTTTGATATTCTCAACTTTTGATTGAGTTAGAAATTTCAAGAGCCTGTAATAGGAAAAATGTCCTCTTATTTATCAATTTTTCCGCCTTCTGATTGGCTCAGTAATTCAATTTTTAAATATTTCTGGATTTTGATTGGGTTTGAAATTCAAATTTCTACTATTTCTGGCTTTTGATTGGCTTAGAGGTTTTTTTTTTTCAATATTCTCGCCTTTTGATTGGCTTAGAGATTCAATTTTTTAATATTCCCTGCTTTTGATTGGCTGAGATATCTAATTTTTTAACATTCCCGGTTTTTGATTACCTTTAAACTTTAATTTTCCCAGCTCCTAATTGGTTTAGAAACTCAACTTTTCAATATTCTCAACTTTTCATTGAGTTAGAAATTTCAAGAGCCTGTAATAGAAAGAATGTCCTCTTATATGCCAATTTTTCCGCCTTCTGATTGGCTTAGTAATTCAATTTTTAAATATTCCTGGATCTTGATTGGGTTTGAAATTCAAAATTTTAATATTCCCGGCTTTTGATTGGCTTTGAAGTTTATTTTTTCAATTTTCTCGTCTTTTGATTGGCTAGAGAATCAATTTTTCAATATTCCTTGCTTTTGATTGGCTGAGACATTTAATTTTTTAACATTCCTGGTTTTTGATTAGCTTTAAACTTCAACTTTCCCAGCTCTTAATTGGTTTAGAAACTCATTTTTTCAATATTCCCAACTTTTGATTGAGTTAGAAATTTCAAGAGCCTGTAATAGAAAAAGTGTCCTCTTATCTACCAATTTTTCCGCATTCTGATTGGCTTAGTAATTACATTTTTAAATATTGCTGGATCTTGATTGGTTTTGAAATTAAAATTTCTACTATTCCCGGCTTTTGATTGGCTTAGAGATTCAATTTTTTAATATTATATTTAATAAAAACTAAGGTCCGATTTATTAGTGAATGGGTATTTAGTTTAGCTGTTGGTTAACTAATAATTACCATTGGTTAACCGACAGCTAAACTAGATAACCGTGTTCTGATAAACTGCTCCTGAGGTAATCAGGAGCCGGGAATATTCAAAATTTGAATTTCATAACCGACAGCTAAACTAGATAACCGTCCACTGATAAACCGGTCCTGAGCTAATCAAGAGCCAGGAATATTCAAGAAAATTTCCAATAATAATTAACAGCTAAATTAAATAATTGTTTACTGATAAATCGGTCCTTAGAGATTCAATTTTTTATTATTCCCGGTTTTTGATTGGCTTCAAGATTCAATTTTTTAATTTTCCCAGCTCTTCATTGGTCTAGAAACTCAACTTTTTATTATTCTCGGCTTTTGATTGGCTTAGGAATTTCAATAGCCTGGAATAGAGAAAACATGAATATTTACTTGTCTACCAATTTTTTCCTAATTTCTCTCAAATTTCTTAGTTTTTCTTGCTCAATTTCTCTCTATTTCCAAATCTTGAATTTGTTGAAATAAAGAAAATTCAAGAGCCTGGAATAGAGAAAACATTAATTATCTTCTTGTTTATTAATTTTTTCTCAATTTCTCTCAAATTTCTTCCCTTTGTATCTCAATTTTTGCAGCTCAATTCCTCTGTACTCCCAGCTCTAGAATTTGTCAAAATAAAGAAATTTCAAGACCCTGGAATAGAAAAAACATGAATGTTCTCTTATCTACCAACTCAATTTTGAAATTATTCGCAGAAAATATGAATAAAAATCATGTGCAAGGTGCAAGTACCTTCTATTGTATATAAAAATAATTGTAATTTTTTACTAAAGTGATTTATTCTATTTAGTTGTTGCCAAAACATGCTACGTTCAATCCACTTGGAAAACCTCCACACCCACAACGATTGCAAATCGTATCTGGGTAAAATGTTCAGAGTCAAGCTTTACGAGTGCCCCGAATGGTACTCGGACACAGAAATAGCCGACTTCATCCTAAAAAAGTGCATTTTAATTCACCTAAAAACCAACCAAGACAAATTCAACTTGCTAATGTTCATGACCAAAAAGCTGTTCAGCTTTGCTCAAGACAAGTGCAAAATTGAAGGAGCTGATGCTGTTATGATGCAAGAAGTTCTACAAGGTGGTCATTTATACTTGCAAATTGTCAAAGAAAAGTTGCAAAATTGGCTTAATGGTTTACGTCTGAGCATTTTGCAACTGGCCAGAAGCAATAAGTTTAGTTTTAATCAGGCTGACATGCTCAAAGCTGCCAAAATGTCTGGAGGAATCGAAAACAGTCTTAGATTGTTTTTGGCTACTGGAAATATTCAAAGTAATACTGGGCTAGGATTGATGCAGGATAAAGGATTGTGTATTATTGCTGAGAATATTAATAGGATGAGATATATGTCACATTTTAGAGCAGTGCATCGGTAAGAATTTGTTTGCTTCAATTCATTTGTATAAAATTACACACTTCCATTCTATTTTAGTGGTGCCTTTTTCCAAGAAATGCGTACAACCGAAGCGCGTCAATTACTCCCGGACGCCTGGGGCTTCATTTGTCCAGTCCACACTCCAGATGGTTCCCCTTGTGGACTTCTAAATCACTTGACAATGGATTGTATAATAACTGATGTCCCTGACCAAGTTAAAGTAGACAACATCGAAACCGTCCTAGATGAAATGGGCATGGTTTCCCTTAACTATATTGGCAAGATTTATTTGAAAAATAGCTACGCTGTACAATTGGATGGGAAAATGATTGGTAATTGTTTATGAGATGTAGTTTTGTTTGATTGATTAATAAAGTGTTATTTTACTAGGTTATATTGCTCAAGAAAAAGCTGCAAGGATAGTAGACAGGTTGCGGCTGCTAAAAATCAAAGGCAAAGAGGTACCGAAAACTTTGGAAATTGTTTTGGTGCCAATTAAAAAAACCAAGGCCCAATATCCAGGTATTTTTTTGTTTACGGGGCCTGCTAGGATGATGAGGCCTTTGAGGAATTTGTACGCGGATAAAATCGAGCTTGTAGGCACTTTCGAGCAAGTTTATTTGGATATTTGCATTTGTCCAGAAGAAGCTTATAAAGGTAAGTGAAAATATTTATATTTGGAGTAAAATTCAACTTTGAGGCTCAATTGCTCACAAAGTATTTGAGATATTAAACTCCAAGGGGCAAACTACCTAGGAATTCTTTGTTAAAATTGTGGGGAATTTGAAGGAACTCATGGAAAATTGGAGGAATGTATGTATAAGAAATTGGGGGAATTTATTGGTTTTAACAATGAGCGTAACAAAAATAGCAGGGAACTTAGTTTCAAGGAATTTTTGGAAACTTTGGAGAAATTTGCGAGAAGTTTGAGGAATTGTTTGCACAAATTCAGGGTGGTGGTTTACTCCATAGAATTCAAGCTGCATTGAAATTATTCACCAAGGGTTTGTAGAGGATTTAATTGACATTATTTCAAGTCTAATTAGCTATGTTACAATCGGATTGATATTTTTTTTTTTGCGGAAAGTTTTTGAAGGATAGGATAGGATTTATTTTTATTAAAGAAATCCTCCCAAATTACACTACTTACATGATTTACAGGTCCAAATTTAAAAAATTCAAAAGAATAAGGAATACGGTTTTTGTAGGCTGATTTCCAAGATTTTTCATGTTGTTATTTTCCACTGAAAACAATTGAAATTTTGGGAAAATGAGCTTTTTACCTTCCTCTTTACATGCAAAAAGTTTCAAAATTTTCCCTTCTCTAGTTTTCCAGGAAAACTTTGAAATATGTGAGACTGTATTTTCAACTAATTAAGTTTTTGTAAGTTAATTTCCAAGATTCTTCATGTTGCTGTTTTCTACTGGAAAAATTTGAAATTTTGGGAAAATGAGCTTCTAACCTTTCTCTTCACATGCAAAAAGTTTCAAAATTTTCCCTTCTCTAGTTTTCCAGGAAAACTTTGAAATGTGCGAGACTGTATTTTCAATTAATTCAGTTATTGTAGGTTGATTTCCAATATTCCTCATATTGTTATTTTCCACTGGAAAAATTTGAAATTTTGGAAAAATGAGCTTCTCACCTTCCTCTTTACATGCAAAAAGTTTCAAAATTTTCCCTTCACTAGTTTTCCAGGAAAACTTTGAAATATGTGAGACTGCATTTTCAATTAATTCAGTTATTATAGGTTGATTTCCAAGATTCCTCACATTATAAATTTCCAAAATTTTTCATGTTACTGTTCTCTACTGGAAACATTTTAAACTTTGGGAAAATGAGCTTCTCACATTCCTCTTTACATGCAAAAAGTTTCAAAATTTTCCCTTCGCTAGTTTTCCAGGAAAACTTTGAAATATGTGAGACTGCATTTTCAATTAATTCAGTTATTGTAGGTTGATTTCCAATATTCCTCATATTGTTATTTTCCACTGGAAAAATTTGAAATTTTGGAAAAATGAGCTTCTCACCTTCCTCTTTACATGCAAAAAGTTTCAAAAGTTTCCCTTCACTAGTTTTCCAGGAAAACTTTGAAATATGTGAGACTGCATTTTCAATTAATTCAGTTATTGTAGGTTGATTTCCAATATTCCTCATATTGTTATTTTCTACTGGAAAAATTTGAAATTTTGGGAAAATGAGCTTCTCACCTTCCTCTTTACATGCGAAAAGTTTCAAAATTTTCCCTTCACTAATTTTCCAGAAAAACTTTGAAATGTGTGAGACTGTATTTTCAATTAATTCAGTTATTGTAGGTTGATTTCCAATATTCCTCATATTGTTATTTTCCACTGGAAAAATTTGAAATTTTGGAAAAATGAGCTTCTCACCTTCCTCTTTACATGCAAAAAGTTTCAAAATTTTCCCTTCACTAGTTTTCCAGGAAAACTTTGAAATATGTGAGACTGCATTTTCAATTAATTCAGTTATTGTAGGTTGATTTCCAATATTCCTCATATTGTTATTTTCCACTGGAAAAATTTGAAATTTTGGAAAAATGAGCTTCTCACCTTCCTCTTTACATGCAAAAAGTTTCAAAAGTTTCCCTTCACTAGTTTTCCAGGAAAACTTTGAAATATGTGAGACTGCATTTTCAATTAATTCAGTTATTGTAGGTTGATTTCCAATATTCCTCATATTGTTATTTTCTACTGGAAAAATTTGAAATTTTGGGAAAATGAGCTTCTCACCTTCCTCTTTACATGCGAAAAGTTTCAAAATTTTCCCTTCACTAATTTTCCAGAAAAACTTTGAAATGTGTGAGACTGTATTTTCAATTAATTCAGTTATTGTAGGTTGATTTCCAATATTCCTCATATTGTTATTTTCCACTGGAAAAATTTGAAATTTTGGAAAAATGAGCTTCTCACCTTCCTCTTTACATGCGAAAAGTTTCAAAATTTTCCCTTCACTAATTTTCCAGAAAAACTTTGAAATGTGTGATACTGTATTTTCAATTAATTCAGTTATTGTAGGTTGATTTCCAATATTCCTCATATTGTTATTTTCCACTGGAAAAATTTGAAATTTTGGGAAAATGAGCTTCTCACCTTCCTCTTTACATGCGAAAAGTTTCAAAATTTTCCCTTCACTAATTTTCCAGAAAAACTTTGAAATGTGTGAGACTGTATTTTCAATTAATTCAGTTATTGTAGGTTGATTTCCAATATTCCTCATATTGTTATTTTCCACTGGAAAAATTTGAAATTTTGGAAAAATGAGCTTCTCACATTCCTCTTTACATGCAAAAAGTTTCAAAATTTTCCCTTCACTAGTTTTCCAGGAAAACTTTGAAATATGTGAGACTGTATTTTCAATTAATTCAGTTATTGTAGGTTGATTTCCAATATTCCTCATATTGTTATTTTCCACTGGAAAAATTTGAAATTTTGGAAAAATGAGCTTCTCACCTTCCTCTTTACATGCAAAAAGTTTCAAAATTTTCCCTTCACTATTTTCCCAGGAAAACTTTGAAATATGTGAGACTGCATTTTCAATTAATTCAGCTATTGTAGGTTGATTTCCAAGATTTTTCATGTTGTTGTTTTCTACTAGAAAAATTTGAAATTTTGGGAAAATGAGCTTTTACCTTCCCCTTTACATGCAAAAACTTTCAAAATTTTTCCTTCACTAGTTTTCCAGGAAAACTTCGAAATGTGTGAGACTGTATTTTCAACTAATTCAGTTTTTGTAGGTTGATTTCCAAGATTTTTCATGTTGTTGTTTTCTACTGGAAAAATTTGAAATTTTGGGAAAAGGAGTGTCTCACCTTGCTCTTTACATGCAAAAAGTTTCAAAATTTTCCCTTCACTAGTTTTCCAGGAAAACTTTGAAATATGTGAGACTGTATTTTCAATTCATTCAGTTATTGTAGGTTGATTTCCAAGATTCCTCATATTGTTATTTTCCACTGCAAAAATTTGAAAGTTTGGGAAAATGAACTTCCCACCTTTTACATGAAAAAACTTTCAAAATTTTCCCACTTCCAGGAAAACTTTGAAATGTGTGAGACTGTATTTTCAATTAATTCAGTTATTTGTTACTTTCCACTGGAAAAAATTTGAAATTTTAGTAAAATGAGCTTCTCAGCTTTCTCTTTACATGCAAAAAGTTTCAAAATTTTCCCTTTACTAGTTTTCCAGGAAAACTTCGAAATATGTGAGACTGCATTTTCAATTAATTCAGTTATTATAGGTTGATTTCCAAGATTCCTCACATTATAATTTACTATTGAAAAAATTTGAAATTTTAGGAAAATGAGCTTCTCAGCTTCCTCTTCACATGCAAAAAGTTTCAAAATTTTCCCTTCAGTAGTTTTCCAGGAAAACTTTGGAATGTATGAGACTGTATTTTCAACTAATTCAGTTTTTGTAAGTTGATTTCCAAAATTTTTCATGTTACTGTTCTCTACTGGAAACATTTTAAACTTTGGGAAAATGAGCTTCTCACCTTCCTCTTTACATGGAAAAAGTTTCAAAATTTTCCCTTCACTAGTTTTCCAGGAAAACTTTGAAATGTGTGAGACTGTATTTTCAATTAATTCACTTATTGTAGATTGATTTCCAAAATTCCTCATGTTGTAATTTTCTACTGGAAAAATTTGAAATTTTGGGAAAATGAGCTTCTCACCTTTCTCTTCACATGCAAAAAGTTTCAAAATTTTCCCTTTCTTAGAGGAATTTGTGGGGTATTTGGAGGAATTTGTGATGGGGTATCTGAAGAAATTTGTGGGGAATTTGCAGGAATTTTGAGGAATTATGCGCAACAAATTCCCCTTTGGGGAATTGTCTGTACCAATTCTAGGATGGTGGTTTACCCCTTGTAAAATGAGTATCAAAGTCATTTTGGCACGTTTTATTTTTTTTTGAGAAAAATGTCTGAAGGATTGGATTGACATTTTGGAAGTGGAGAAAGAAAAGATTGAAATTTTCTTCTGATCATTCACCTTCAAGGAGCAACCCTCTAGGAATTCTTTGCTGAAAATATTTTTTGAACCTCGTGAGCTGAAGTTCAACAAAAGAAGCCTGAAAATCTTAAAATTTCCTCCATTATTTAGTTATTTTCTAGCATCAAGTCGAAAGAAAATTCCTTACTTTACTTCTGGGCTCAAGATCCACTTTTCATTTATTTTGCCTTACAAAAGAGACTCCATTTTATAAATCCTGTAAGTTTCAAATCGCTGGAAGTATTTTTCAAATATTATTTGCTTATATCAAAAAATTCGTGGCTTGTGAGCAAAGTGAGGCTGTGATTGGCCAATGAAATTTACTAGAGTGACTTGGCAACGTTGATTGGCCTAAATTTGAATATTTAAAAACTAATTGAATCTATTGTTTAATTTATAAATAAACATTTCTCATTGATTAAAAGATAATCAACCGAATAGTGAATTATAAAATGTCTAGTATTCATGCCGGAAACATATCAGAAGTGCACGAAATGCCTTTGAGCGCAATCATAAGACCGATTCCTCCGATTTTGGACGAAGAAAAAGTGAAATCTTTAATGGAAACAATTTCAAACTCAACCGACGAAGTCCCTCCAATTGATGTGCTATGGATTATTGGAAAAAATGGGGGCAACTATTACTATTCTTTTGGAGGCTGTCACAGATATGAGGCACACAAAAGATTAAATTCAGAGTTTGTTAAGGCAAAGCTTGTAAAATCAACTATTGAAGATTTAAAGGTTTACTTGGGTGGCAGTACACCAGATTTATTGTGACACGTTTACTAATTCTATTACAAATGTGTGTATATAATTTAAAAATCAATTATGTATAACTTAATTAGAAAAAAAAGTCAATCAATCAAGGACAAAACAATTATTAGGCTTAAATTAACTTAAATTACAATCACAAAAACAATAATGTGGTAGTTTTAATTTTTAATGCTTAAAAACTATTAATTAGATTTTACAATTATCTCCTGAGCCTTGCTGCTGGAACAACTTTTCAACTTCCTGATAAACTTCCTCTTCTGATTTGGTTGCATCAATGGTCCTTACTAAATTCTGTTTGGCATAATGATCTATAATAGGTTTTGTCTCAGACGCATACGTATTGAAACGCTTTTTAAGACTTTCAGCATTGTCATCTACACGTCCACTTGTTGCCCCCCTTTTCAAAATCCTCTCGCTACAAGTTTCTAAAGGACAATCGAAAAACAGGACAAACTGTAAATTGACTTTATTTGCCATTGCCTTGTTCCAGCCGTCCAAATTGTTTTGATTACGTGGAAAACCATCAATTAAAAAGTTGTCTTTGCCTGATTCTTTCATGGCACGCTCTAGTAGGCTACACGTTATTTCAACTGGTACAATTTTACCTTCTTTGATGTAAGTTTCTATTAGTTCTCCATAAGGGGAGCCTGGTTTGTTGCGTTCCTCTCGCAAAAGATCGCCAGCAGAAAGGTGCACATATCCGAAATTTTCTACTATTTTCAAGCATTGGGTGCCTTTGCCAGCTCCGGGGCCGCCCAATACGAATACCACGTTCGGGGTCATTTTTAATACTCGCTTTAATGCTGAAGTTAATACTGAAATGCCTGAGAACATCGGGTGATTTTTCTATTATATACTTGCGGGTCGATTTTTAATTTATCACAGGGCCAGGGTCACACAACGATATCAAACATAACCTCAATTTGTTTGAGGAGTCAAGATGATGATGATGATGATGATGATTTGGCAAAAGTGGATTATGTTTCTTTTTATCACTAGAATAATATTTGGATAAAAGATTATTGTTTTTAATTAAATTGTTTATATATTTTTTAAATAAAGTGGGAAATTTAATTTGTTTACTTTTCGTCGATCAACTATCGTTTTATGTCGGTCTTTGTCGTTTTGTATGTGTTAAATAAGGATAGATATGTAAGATGGGTTTTGTGGTAGTAAAAAAGAAATCGCTATTTGAATGTCATACATGGCGCGAAATTTGAATTTTAAACTTTTTTTTCCAAAAATTCTTCATAAAATGTGTTTTCAGGCAATCAGAGCGGCTTAAAACTTTCAAGATGTATTCATATGAAGTACTTTAAACAAATTATGACTATTTTTTTTCAAGTTGGCACCAACATTCTTATAAAATAACTTTCAATAATACTTTACCGCATTATGCAAGGCATTATTGAAATTTTCAAAAGAGAAGGAATTTTTGATTATAAACACCAAAGTCTACTTTTTAGCACACTATGCAGTTTACTCTCGAGTTTACTTTACCGCATAGTGTGCGATAAACAGAGCTGTACCAAGTATTTGAGTATTAAGTACAAGTTTCTTTTTTAATATGCATCAAGTACTAGTGTGAAAGTACAGAAGGAAGTACTTGAAGTATCAAGAAAATTGTTTTGAATTACCCAAATTTAAATACAAGTACCAAATTCAGAGTTGAGTTTAAGTACCTATTTACTTGAACTTGTGTATTTGAAATGACATTTAGGTAAAAATACTTTAAAAAAAGTATTTCTTTATTTTAAGTAAGTAATGTTCGAATTAGGGCGAGTATCAGAAAACTATATTGAGAAATAACTTAAAGTTAACTTCTGGAATAATTTCACATCAAGCAAGGTCCTAATTTTCGAAACAGTAGAGCAGTGTTCTCATAGGAAAGAAGGTTCTGTCTTTGTCACCCATATTTATATTTCCATAATACTGACAAAGACTGTGCAATCGTTCTGATGAGAACGCTTTTTTTCCCGGTTCCGAGAATAGTAATTCCAGAAGTTAACTATTACTTATTTGTCAAAATAGTTTGATAATACCCGTCCTTAGCAAAAGAACAAATAATGATCAAAACCTCAAATTTTTGGCTCCTGGTTCCATCTGGATGTCTATTGTCGAATCCAGGGAACAACGTGCTCATAAGAATGATTGAAATATAAATATGAGTGACAAAGACAAAATCTTCGTTCTCATAAGAACGCTGCTCTTCTGTCTCGAGAATAAGGACCCTGTTTTTAATCTCCTTTGGAAACATTTCTTAGTGATTCAAGAGCCAGTAATGATCAAAAATTTAAGTTTTCGGCTTGTGATTTCTTCTGGAGAAGTTTTCTAATGAGTCAAGAGCCGGTAATATTTAAACTTTTGACTGGAAAAATGTTTTACTTAGTTTACCAGTCTACACACATACTGACATACCTCATATGAATAAAACAAAAGTAAATGTTTTTGTTTAGGTTTTTTGAGATAAACATATTCAGCTTTAATGCAGCAAAAAGAGACGGAGGTAGAGTGAAAGCACTTTATACATAAGACTGCATGAGTATTAGACTTACTTCTTACATAACTGAATACTGGATTATTTCTGAATTTATTTTGGTTTTCAAGTAAATTGTACTCAAGTACCTATTTAAAAATATTTCAATTTAAAATATTTACTTCAAATAATTTTACTGGTACTTAAGAAGTATTTTACTAAAAAGCATTCTAGTGAAATATACTTGATTGATATTTTAAGTATCTATTAAGTAAATATGTACAGGGTGTTTCAAATTCGAGCCACATCATTGGGATCTCGGAAACGGTAAGATATACAGGGTTGGTTAAATGGGGGCAAAGTTGCGTAATTTGATGCTTAACAAAATGGCGCTTTGATTTTTAGGATATCCCGAATAGGAGTTGGAAAAGATCTGATCCTGACTTGCGAGATTCGATTTTCAAGAGAAATTGACTTGTGAAAACCGCATATTGATATGTCGAGTCGTTTTTATGCTACAAGGGGTTTTTAAAAATTTTGAGTATGGCAGGGAGTCTATAACTTTTTGTAGCTTAAAAACGAATCAAGATATCGAGATGCGGGTTTCACCGGTCAACTTCTCTTGAAAATTGAGGCTCGCAAGTGGGGGTCAGATTTTTTCCAAGTCCCCTAGAAATACCCGAAACCCGCCAAAACCATTTAATCTTGGACACCCTGTACAAGTAAGATTTGAAAAAATCGAGATGGCAAGTACGTATGTACAAGTACCAATGTTTGGATTAATACTTTAGTCAAATACTCGAAAGTATTTTTTGTACTTAAGTATATATACACTGTGATTTATGTAGCCTGTGCATTAAAAGCTTTCGTATAGTCCTGTAAACTGGAACTATATAACAGATAGAGATCGTTATTTCTATCTATATGGCACTTGCTGTCTTCTTCTCTCTTTTCGAAATCAATAAATAAGGGACGTTAATAGACATAGAGAAAATATTTCTATTCGTTACATAGTTATAAAAGTAAAAGAGCTTTGGCAATACAGTGCTACTTTCCACTTGCAAATAAGTACAGTAAAGTGCACTTTACCACATGTTCGTAGATAATGTAAATAGATAACTCTTAGGCCCAGTTTCATAATTGGTGGTAACCTGCACTGGTTATCAAACTCATAGTTGCGGTTTGACCATATTGAATAATCTGAAGCTTGACTAAACCACACATTATGAAACAAATATACTGTAATGTCTGCCCAGCGAGTCTGTGTCTACGGGGCAACGGTAAGGGGAATGCAGTTGTAAAAAAAAATGGCTGATATCATTCATAAAATACCCAGCTGCGTGCGGAACTTATTGGAAGTGTTATCGTATTGCAACTCGTACACGAAAATCAGCAATGACCAAATCTCCGCCACTGGATATGTCAATATAAATCGATATTCCAAGATGGGAGGATAAAATGACGTGAGCCCTGGCCAATAGCGAGACGTAAGGTGACGTTAGCTCATTGACAACCGTATGGTTCCCCATGACAACGGCGATCCTGCCAAAAACTCCACCAATCAGGTTCATCCAGGACGGATGCTTGCCAAATTGTCAAAAGCTGATGGTATCTCTAAAAAATGGAAAATGTTTATTTTTTACAATAGACCAAACTGCAGAAATCAGGATTAAAATAAGGATAGGTCTAACAACCAGGTTAAAATATTTAGCGTTTTATTATTGTTATCAATATTTTGTTATCAAAAAATGGATTTTGAAATGAACTATATTTCATGCCTAGTATTTTCGCTTATTTATAATTAAACGTGGCAACATGGCACATTTACGTCCGAATTCCTTCCGTAGACTCAGATCCGCTGGGCAAACAATAGGTTACCAATATTTTGCGTTGGGTTACCACTGTTTGTGAAACTGGTCCTTAAAAGCATCACAGTGACTTAAAACTTTCAGTTTTGGAATATTCGTATCAAATAAAACAAATTGTAATTGAGTTTGAAGCTCAGAAATAGATGTATAACTTTTTTTCCGAGTTCTTATGAAATGTCTTTCAAATCCCCTTTGAGAGCCTATTAAAAACAGTTTTAGCAATCACAGCAATATGAAACCTTTGAAAAAATACAGTCTGAAGTCTGAAATAATTTGATGAGGAAAGGAATGGGTTCAATGAATGAACAAAATGGGTATCAATGTCATTTTAGGAAAAATCAAATTTCCAAAAAACGACTTTGAGGCACGGCAGCTTCGAAACTATTGAAGCTGCATCCAAATTATTCATTAGACATTTGTAAAGAATTTAATTAGCTTTAATTCAAGCCTAATCACGTTAAGATCAGATTAAAATTAACAAAGTTATGAGGCAAAATGTGTATCAATGTTCCAGGTGTTACAACCCACATGGAACTATCGAAAACCGCCTTTTTATCCAACCTTGCCCAACTGATACCGATGCCCGATTGCAACCAATCGCCCAGAAACATGTACCAGTGCCAAATGGGCAAACAAACCATGGGCACCCCGTGCCACAATTGGGATATGCAGTCAGAAACAAAATTATATCGGTATTTACTACATGAAAATGTATTCATTGTATATAAATTGAATAATTTCTAGATTGCAAACACCTGCTACCCCTTTATTTAGGCCAGTGCACCATGACGAAATCGCTTTAGACGATTTTGCAATGGGTACCAACGCAATTGTAGCCGTTATCAGTTATACAGGTTACGATATGGAAGACGCAATGATTATCAATAAGGCCTCAGAAGAAAGGGGTTTGGCTCACGGTTCCATTTACAAATCTGAGTTTGTGGAACTTGAGCACGAAGCCTCATATTTTGCCAGAGATCCTAAACAAGCTGCTTTAGCAGAGCATATAGATAACGACGGTATGCCTCATATTGGTCACAAATTGACTGAAAATGTGCCTTTGTATTGTTACTTTGATGGCGATAGGTCAGTTTATCGTACAATTACTTTTAAGGGCAAGGAAGATTGTTATTTGCACAGCATCAAAATGTGTGGCGATTTCAATTCGAAAGCCAAAAAGACTATTTGTATTACTTATAGAGTGCCTGTAAGTAGATTGATGATGTTAATTTTTCAAGGTTTTAATGGGCATTTTTTTTTCAAGCGTAATCCAAGCGTTGGGGATAAGTTTGCCAGTAGGGCTGGCCAAAAAGGTATTTGCTCACAAAAATGGCCTTCAGAAGATTTACCTTTTACCGAAACAGGTAAGTTTGTATGTCTGCCACTTGATTGTTTTTTTGGGGTCTTTTTCAATTTTGAATTGATCGACTTGAAATTTTGGTAAGAAATCCTCCTAACCTTCTGCTTTGGACTCAGAAAATTTCAAATTTTTATCATTATCGGATTTTGAGATAAAAATTCAAATGTCTCATGATGCATTTTTTCCCCTTAAATGTTTGCCAAAGTTGATTTTTTTCAATTTTGAATTGATCGGCTTGAAATTTTGGTAAAAGATCCTCCTGACCTTCTTCTTTAGACTCAGAAAATTTCAAATTTTTATCTTATCAGATTTTGAGATAAAAATTCCAATGTCTCATGATGCATTTTTTTCTTTTGAATGTTTACCAAAGTTGATTTTTGGGATCTTTTCCAATTTTGAATCGATCGGCTTGAAATTTTGGTGAAAGATCCTCCTAACCTTTTTCTTTAGACTCAGAAAATTTCAAATTTTTATCATTATTGGATTTTGAGATAAAAATTCAAATGTCTCATAATTCCCTTTAAATGTTTGTTAAAGTTGATTTTGAGAACTTTTCCAATTTTGAATCGATCGGCTTGAAATTTTGGTGAAAGATCCTCCTAACCTTTTTCTTTAGACTCAGAAAATTTCAAATTTTTATCATTATTGGATTTTGAGATAAAAATTCAAATGTCTCATAATTCCCTTTAAATGTTTGTTAAAGTTGATTTTGGGAACTTTTCCAATTTTGAGTCGATCGGCTTGAAATTTTGATAAAAGATCCTCCTAACCTTCTTCTTTAGACTCAAAAAATTTCAGGCTATTATCTTAATCGGATTTTGAGATAAAAATTCAAATGTCTCATGATGCATTTTTTCCCTTTGAATGTTTACTAAAGTTAATTTTTAGGATCTTTTCCAATTTTGGATCGATCGGCTTGAAATTTTGGTAAAAGATCCTCTCAACCTTCCTCTTTAGACTCAAAAATTTTAAAATTTTTGTCATTATCGGATTTTGAGATAAAAATTCAAATGTCGCATAACGCATTATTACCCTTTGAATGTTTATCAAAGTTGATTTTTGGAGTCTTTTTAAATTTCGAATCGATCGACTTGAAATTTTGGTAAAAGATCCTCCTAACCTTCTTCTTTAAACTCAGAAAATTTCAAATTATTATCATTATCGGATTTTGAGATAAAAGTTCAAATGTCTCATGATGCATTTTTTCCCTTTAAATGTTTGCCAAAGTTGATTTTTGGGATCTTCTCCAATTTTGAGTCAATCGGCTTGAAATTTTGGTGAAAGTTCCTCCTAACCTTTTTCTTCAGACTTGAAAAATTTCAGGCTATTATCGTAATCGGATTTTGAGATAAAAATTCAAATGTCTCATGATGTATTTTTTCCCTTCAAATGTTTGCCAAAGTTGATTTTTGGGATCTTTTCCAATTTTGAGTCGATCGGCTTGAAATTTTGGTAAAATATCCTCCTAACCTTCTTCTTTAGACTCAGAAAATTTCAAATTTCTATCATAATTAGATTTTGGGATAAAAATTCAAATGTCTCAAGATGCATTTTTTTCCCTTTGAATGTTTGCCAAACTTGATTCTTGGGATCTCTTCCAATTTTGAATCGATCGGCTTGAAATTTTGCTAAAAGATCCTCTTAATCTTCTTCTTTAGACTCGGAAAATTTCAAATTGTTTCATTTTAGCTCACTTTTCTTGAGCTAAACCCATCTAGAGTAGCGTGTAAAACCCATTTTTGGCTCTAGAACAACTAAACATCAATTTGAACCGTTTCACTTTTCATTCTAAGGGTTTAATATTGAAATTTCACACTCATACACTTTCCCGCTTTATTACTTACTACTCTATATAGGCCACTGGGCCCATAACCTAATGTGATTTTACTATCAGTTTTAGCACAAGAACAAAATGATTTTAACAAAGACATTTAAATTCTTGACAGGTCTGGTACCAGATATTGTCTTCAACCCTCATGGATTCCCATCGAGAATGACAATAGCCATGATGATTGAAATAATGGCTGGCAAATCGGCAGCCGTACATGGTTTAGTACATGACGCCACCCCATTTAAATTTACCGAAGATGATACCGCTATAGATTACTTTGGAAGGCTTTTAGAATCAGGCGGCTACAATTATTACGGTACTGAAACCATGTACTCGGGTACTGATGGCAGGGAAATGACTGCCAAGATTTTCTTTGGGGTGGTGCACTATCAAAGATTAAGACATATGGTTTCTGATAAGTGGCAAGTTAGGTCGACAGGGGCAATGGATGCCATCACTAGACAACCGATAAAAGGGCGTAAAAAGGGAGGCGGAGTACGTTTTGGTGAAATGGAAAGGGACGCCCTTATAAGTCACGGAACTTCGTTTTTGTTGCAAGACAGATTGTTTAATTGTTCAGATAAAACTACTGTAAATATTTTGGATTTATGTTAAAGTTTTGTATTTATTTTTGTTTTTTACAGGCAAATGTTTGCACTTCATGTAAGTCCTTGTTGGGCCCTATTACGCTTGTAACCAGAAAAGCCGATAAGCCGCACTTTACTGAAACTAAAGACGTTTGCAAGCTGTGCAATAGCGGCAAGGATATTTCGGAAATTCAAATTCCTTATATTTTCAAGTTTTTCGTTACGCAATTGGCTTCTTGTAATATCAATGTTAAAATTGGTTGTGAGAGTATGTAAGAACTATCACTGAATAAATTTAGGACCTACTATCTTGTGTAGAAAACTATGTGTTATGTTTTCTTGTATCAAATTCAAAAAAGTGTACCAAATAATTCGTACTGATTGAAGCTGCTCCACGTGTAATGATTACATGCAAAAACTGCACTCACTCTGTAAAACCTAAAAATTATTTTTGTCCTCAAAATTTCATAATATTAAAATTCAACCCCTTTCAATTGATCAGTCACGCACCCCATAAGAGCAGCTGATAATAAACCACCCCTAAATCAGCAGCCACCTCTCGCTCTCTCTTGTATAACATTCATAAGAGCGTCCCCTCGTTTTCAAAATTAATTGTTATTGGCTGCATATGGACCTCATTAAAATCTAAAAATAAAAGCCAGCTGTGGCACGCATCGGGAACGAGTCTGTGTCGGGAAGTTGAGGGAGTATTATCTTTGCTGATAAATTACTAACTAATCGATACGGATTTTTTTTTTGTGCAATAATGGTGCCTGAAGATGTTGAAAATTCTATTTTAACTGGAAATACTTTGGAGAAAGAGGACAAAAATCGCAAGTAAGCCACTGTGTGTTTTTTTGATTCAATTAATAAATTGTTTTCAAGGCTTTTAGCTCATCAACAAGCTGAGTACCTCAAACAAACATCCATAAAGGAATTAAGTCCTGAAGAATTAAGAAAAATCATATTAATGGCCTATCAAGGAAGCAATTTAGTTTATCAGTGTGATAATAGTTAAGGGTTTGTTTACATGAAAAAAAAAACGCAATTATATTGTATCTAGTCAAAATGCCATATTATTATTAGTTAATTAATAAAAGAACAAAAATAATTAAAATTAATAAAAGAAGAATATTACCATTTGTATTTTAAATAGTATTAGACGCAATTTAAAGTGCCTTTAATACTGTTTTTTTCTCTTTTCAAAAATGTCTCACTATTAAAGCAAGATTATTAAAAACCTATTTATCACATTTAGGGCCTGTTTATTCATCTTCTGATAAACTGTCAATTATGCAATCTGTAATCCCATTGGTCAATCAATTACCTACCCACCAATAGAATCATAGAATGCCAAATTTATCCTGCAGCAAAACGAATAAACCGGGCATAATAAAAGAATTTTTGAAGAAATTTTTTCAACAAGAGAGATTTTTCTGTTTTTTCCAATTGACAAAAGTCCTAATAACAACCTTTAAATTTTTTTTTGAGATTATTCGTTGCCGTTTTGTACGGCCAGATACCTTTCCAGTTTTACTCTGAGCCGGTGTTTGTGCTCTCGCACATCGGCCAATTCCAAACTTAATTCCTGGCACGTCCTCAAGAGGGCGGCGTTTTCGATTTGCAACCGCTCGAATTCTTCCCATTGTTCTTCTTCTAGCGGGTCCAAAGGTGATTTATCTTCATCGAATTTTGTTGGTTTCCTAAAAAAGAAATTAGGGTCAGAATTCTTCACAACAGTGATGAGAATGTGCCACTAGTACGTTTACAAAAATCGAACACAGTATTGTCGAAAATGAAATTAATCTTCTGAAGACGACTTCTCATTAATTAGATTTGTGAAGCCCATTACCAAGAAAATAAGTCAAAACGAAAACGATCCAGACGCAGATCTTGTGACGATGAAATATTAAGTTCCTGCCATAAATGCTGAAAATTGCTTTGTTATACTCAGCAAGTGTCCCAATTTCTGGTACAGCTTACAGCTGACAACATTGACAATTGGCACTCAAATTCTGGAAAATCAACCTCAAACCACCATTTCATTCATATTTGATTAAGCAAAAATCTAGGATTTTGAAGCAAAAATCCAGGATTTTGAAGATATCTTGGTCTGGTTCGTTATCGAAAAAAAAGGATGGACCGGAAACAAGCAAGATATCTTTTGTTTCTAATTGACAGTTACAATGCTCGAAACACCACACGACCATAAAATCATCCATCGTATCTCGAAATTTTGGGTCGAATTTTTGTTTTTTTTTTTTTAATTTCATCACCTATAAACTAAAATCGATCTGGAATAATGGGCCACTTTCACGTGCCGGGAATATGGCAAAATATGATATTTTTTGACGCAGATACATCAATGCAACCAAGAATGAACAATATTTTGCAAGATTTTAGTCAGATTATTAAATAAATTAATAAATAAAAACTAAAAATTTAAACAAAAAATCACGTGATTGAAAACGCTCTGTGATTGGCTAAGGCCGATTTTGACATTTTTGTTGCCACATGTAGAAATGCGAAATTTAAATGAGTTAATAAGGATTATACCTATCCTTTATTTTTTTATAATGTAGTAAAGGACGAAAATAGTTTCTAGCTAGTGAAATATGTAATGATTTACTAATGAGAAATTTGGCATCCTTGATTTTCTGGTGTGTGACGTCACACACCAAGTTCATTTTTTCACGCCAGTTTAAAAATTCGATTTTTAAATAATTTTTTTTTCAAAAATAAGCGTTTTTTTTCGGAAAAAAAGTATACAGATAGTATTAGAATGACTAAAAGTATAATTTAAAAATGTTTTTGAAAAATGTGAAAGTGGCCCATTGTTATTGTCACAATCGATTGTAAATTTTAATCACTCTGGGCCCATAACCTGTGGAAATTTTTGTATTATTACCGGCTCTTGATTTAAGAGAAAAAACTAACACAATTGCTTGAAAACTATTAAACCTACACAAATATTATGTAACAGAGACCTGTATTACCAGCCTACTTGAATAATGGTATTTGCATGTTCAACTTTCTCTAAAGCAAATAGAGTCAATAGAGGAAGATTCATGCCAAAATATTTTTTTAAGGCCTGCTTGATCAAAAAAAGGCCAATTCTAATATAAAATTACTATAAACTATACAGATAAAAAGCCTCTGTTTCATAATAAATTAGTTTTCTCGGTACTCACATAATTCGAACCGCGACACTTTTTGGAATACTTTAGAGTACTTTTTCCTATTGAAAACTGGAAAATTCGACGAAAAATCAGAGGCCGAAATAAAAACGCGTTGGCTATTTGTCACTTATAATGGCCGACTGTAGAGTGTCAAAATTGCCATTCCAAAGCCTACTTGTATTTTACTCGATTTTGGGGCGATTGCAGCGCCATCTCGTAACAAATGAGTGTAACTGCATTATTGTTTCAAAATGGCTTACGCGCTTTTATTTTTTATTTTTATCACCGGTTTTTCGTTGAATTCTTCAATTTTCCATAATTTTATTAATTAAATTTCAAACAAAAAACCATTTAAAATGTAATTATTTTTTCCTATTCGAAATGCGGCAACGTCGCTTTTAATCAAGTAGGCCTTGTAATAAAATGCCACTTTTCTTTTGACAGTCGGCCATTTTTTGATTGACGTGTTTACATTTAATCCAATTTTCTGCTATTCAAGGCCGTTTTCAGTTGGAAAAACTGGTTCAAAATACGAGGCTTCTTTTTTCGCCAAAAATTTCCAGTTTTCCCAGGGGGTAAGTAATGAAAACTCAAGTTATATCAAGTAGGTTTTCGAATGTTATTTTTGCTATGACATTTGACAGTCGGCCATTTTGAGTGTTTTTATTTTTCCAGTTTTTTGGGACTTTTTAATGGAAAAAAGTAATCTAAAAGTATTCGGAAAAGTGTCGCGGTTCGAATTCTGTGTTCATTTTGCCCAGAAAATTGAATTTTCGAGAAGATATTGCATATAGGATGCACCCACTACCGGAAAATTGATAGGGCCAAGGCTGGCTAACAAAGGACTACCGCAAGGATCTACCTTTAACCCACTATTATTTAATATACAGGGTGTTCCTAAATATCATGTACAAACGAACAGAAGTGATTCTTTGGTTTATTTTATGACTAAAATTTCTAATAAACATAGCTCCGCAAACGCTTCGTTACCGATATACAGGGTGTTGAAATTTTAATACTTTTTTTTTTAGTTTTCTCTTTATAGCTCCCGCAATTTTTGAGAAATTTAGCTCAAATTTGGAATATAGGTTTCACAATAGGAGCTGCACATGTAAAACGTTTGCCAGAATTTACAGGGTGATGTTTTTCGCCAATAGGACAAGAATTTGCTTTACTAAATAATTTTCCTTCATTAAATCTCCTCAAAGAATTCCATGGATAGATACAGAAAAGTTACCTATAAACCTCGAAAGCTCCGTGCCTTTTAGGCCCTTCGTCGTTTTTCGCAAACAGTTTGGCAAACAACTTTTTCCTTTCGGCTTCGTATACGTCTCCAGGGAAAATGCCGTCTACCTGGACGTTTTCATATTGTTCCAGTTTCTTGAAGTTGGCAAAAGAGGGCTGATTTTCTAGAGGCACAACGCAATCCCCCTCAGATCTTTGACTCGTTAGTTTTTTTACTTGTTGACCGCTGGGGCTCACTCTGGGGGGCACCACAGGTGGACCATTGGCTTTGGTCAACCTAAAACAATCATAAATAGGGTATCTAAATGCTGAAATCAATTCTCATTATTAGTTACAGTTTCAAAAATGTATGTTAGTTAACAGGGACTTTTCTGACATTATTTTAGCCATCAATTTAATATTTTTCAATGAAATCGTTTCTTATTGTTAATAACAGCATCAAAACCTTCTTTTAATTGACAGATACTTTAGGGCCGAATTTATAGTCGCTCCTTGAGATTTTTTCAAACCTTAAGGAAACCTTAAACGTTTAGAATCGACATGATTAACAAAGAAAATTTGTGGAAATTAAAGTCAAAGGAAAATTGAAAAAGTTGGGGTTTGTGCAGGATTCGAACCTGCGACCTCCGCATTGCTAGTACGACACTCTACCAACTGAGCTAACAAGCCCGCCTGGTAGAGATCGGCGAATACATGATCACTTTCATTCTCCTCCCACTCACCCCAAACGTTTTTCAATTTTCCAATGGCTCACGAATGTGGCATCGGTCCTGCTAGGGTAAGTCACCTATACCACTATGTGCAGGTTTCGTCCACGATGTGTTAAAATTTCTTATATACGCCATGCGACGTAAGCATAGTTGAACAAAGGGAGAATTTTTTGTCGGTTATAGGTACCGAAACTAGTTTTACAAAGAAAATTTGTGGAAATTAAAGTCAAAGGAAAATTGAAAAAGTTGGGGTTTGTGCAGGATTCGAACCTGCGACCTCCGCATTGCTAGTACGACACTCTACCAACTGAGCTAACAAGCCCGCCTGGTAGAGATCGGCGAATACATGATCACTTTCATTCTCCTCCCACTCACCCCAAACGTTTTTCAATTTTCCAATGGCTCACGACATGATTAACTTATCAGATAGTAATAAGTGTCCATTCTAAACTCACGATCTCCAAGGAATAACTATAAATTTGGCCCTTAGCTTTCAATATAATCTTTCTGTTAGTAAACTTTAACTGGATGAAATTAATTTTCATTACTGATAATAGCTATAACAGAGAGTTTTCTGACATTATTTGAGCCTTCAATTAAATCATTCTTTAGTTAACTTTAAGTTAATTGGATTCTTATTGTTAATAACAGCATCAGAAGCTCCTGTTTGTTAACAGAAACTTTTCTAACATTATTTAGCCTTCAATCAAATCTTCTTGTTAATGGGTGAACTTTAACTTGACTCAATGAAATTGATTCTTATTGTTAGTTAATAACAGTATCAAAAGCTGCTGTTAGAGTTAACCTTTTCTAACATTATTTTAGGGCCGAATTTATAGTCACTCCTTAAAGTTTCCTCAAATTTTAAGGAAGTCTTGAACATGTAGAATTAACAAGATTAACTCATCAAATAGTGATAAAGGTGTCTATTCTAAACTCACAAACTCCAAGGGAATCTCAAGAAACAACTATAAATTCAATCCTTAACTTGAAATTCAATATTTCTGTAAGTAAACTTTATTATTATCTATATATATAAAACACAGTTGTGTTTTGTGGAAGCACTTATAACTCAAGAACGGATGGACAGATCTCCTTGAAATTTAAACCACGTAGTTTCTATCTGAAGGGAAGTGACATAAGCTACTTTTTATCCCGGAAAAAAATATTATTAATTAATTAATAATTATAAACAAACTCATTCACATACATGACCCAATTTTTTTTGTTGAGAACATGAAACAACGTTGCCACATTTATTTGAGCTTGTGCATTCAACCGACGCGACGTAACTGTATTATTTTTTAGAACACAAGAACGACTGGACCGATCTCCTTGGAATTTATACCACTTAGTCACTATATAAAGGGAGCAAGTATAGGCTACATTTTTTCTCGGAAAACAAAATTAATTTTTAATTAATTATAAACAAATTTATTCACATACATGACCCAAATTTTTTTGACAATATGAAACAACGTTGTCACATTTATTCAAGTTTGCGCATTCAACCGAGGTAACTGTATTATTTTTTTATTAAAAAATTTAAAAATTCAAATTTTTGCATTTAACTGACGTAACTGTATTATCTATCTATCTATCTATCTGTCGGGTTGGTTGCAGAACCTATAACTCGAGAACTGCTAGGCCGATTTTTATGATTTTTGTTATATTGGATTTGTCTGGCCCGAATTACATAACAACTATTGGAACATTGGAACATATAAAAAGAAAAACATATTTATGAAGAAAATTCACTAAATATGCATACAGTGCCATGTTTTATAACCGATACCAAGTTTGCCGCGTCAAATTGCGCGGTTTGTTTCATTTTGATTTTTGAACATTTATTGAATTTTATTTTATTAAAAAACTGAATTTAATTAAGCTAATGCGTTAACTTAACATTTATTGATTCTGAGGCGTTACGAAGTTTGCCGGGTCCGCTAGTTTATAATAGTTTTAAAAGCTCCAGTTATTTAAAGTTGATTGAGTGAAAACTTTGAATTATTAATGAAAATTATTACTTGTTCAAATCCAACGATGAGCTTCTACCATGAGTCTTAAAAGGCCTAGGTGGCGGCGGCGGAGGTTTCTCCTTCTTCGCGAAAACAGGCAAACTAACAGGCCCCCCTTCTTCCGGAGGTGGCGGTATCGCCCCCAAACCCCTAGCATTAATTTTCTTGGGCTGAGGCCTTTGAATGGCACTCAATTTGGCATCGCTAACCTCATCATTGTTGGCCAGCATTTCTGGCGTCAGCCTTCTAGCTACTGGATGTCTCAAATCTGGATCGTTTTGGTCGATTTGAAAGTCGAAGTTTACTGGTTTGATTCCAGGTGAGGACATCGTAGAGCCAGTAGGACTGTCGACGAATTTTGTCCATTCTTTGACAACTTCTTTGGGGTGCAAAGGGTTTGGTGGGGTCTCGTTTCGGGGTACCAAACTTGCTGGTAATACGTCTGGGATTGGGATTTTATGTTTTCGGAGCACTACTAAGTGCATGGCGGTGAAGAATTCTTGCAAGGACAAGGCGCCATCTCTGGTTATGTCTGACAGTTGCCATATTTTGCGCAGCTCTTGTACGGGTAATTGGGATTTTTCGAAAAATATACGGGCTACTGGGCCTGCTATGAGGGCTTTGGTGTTTTCTTGCAAAGTTTTGAATTGTTTTGTGTAGTAGTCTTTTTGTTCTTGGGTCATTATCCATACTTCGTTTGAGATTTCTGTGTCGTCTTCGCTGCTGTGCTTATCAGATGATTCTTCTTCTGGAAAGAACATTGGATTTGTGATTAATTAGAGAGAAATTCTTGCAGAATTATTCAAGGAATTAAGAAGAGAATGAGATTTCAAGAGCCTGGAATGGATAAAGAATGAAAAAATAAATAAATGGGAAATACTTGAGTGAAAGGAAGATGTTTCTTGTTCCAGGCTCTTGAAATGTCTTTATTTTTTTTTAATGGAGAAATGAAGAGAATAAAGTAATAATTCCAGAGTCCTTCTATACTCTTCTCAATCAAGAAATTTAGGAAGAGAATAATATTTCAAAGCCTGGAATGGATAAAGATTGAAACAAAAAAAAAAAAAATGAGAAATACTTGAGTGGAAGCAAGATGTTTCTTATTCCAGGCTCTTGAAATCTCTTTACTTTTTTTAATAGAGAAATGAAGAGTATGAAGTAATAATTCCAGAGTCTTCTAGATCAAGAAATTAAGAAGAAAAGAATAGTATTTCAAGAGCATGGAATGGACAGAAATTGAAACAAAAATAAATGGGAAATATTTGAATGGAATTAGAATCAATGATAAGTACCCAAAAGTTGTCTTTGTTCCTCAGACACCAACCCTTGCCAAGCCCAATTCCGATCCTGCACACTATTAGTCGGAGTAGGACTGTCCGAAGCTGGACTGGAAACATCCGGAGAACATTTAACAGTCTCGCTATCGGCCTCAGAATCCGTCCCCATCGAATCGCTGTTATACTCTAAATCGTTTCTAAGCTCAATGAGATCAGGAACGGGAGATTCTGAGTCTAACGGGCCCCAAGTGAATTTGGGCAACGGTAAATCCAGCTTGGTGGTTAGTAAATCGTTTTTAATAGGGATGTTTGCCTGGTAGGCTGCCACTAGTTTTAGGGCGGAGAAAAATTGTTTCTTATTCAAATAGCCTGTATTGGGAGTCCAACATAGTTCGCCAATCTATAGAAAAATTAGTTCAGAGTTTGGAACAAGGTTTCTGAGTTAAATTACCTGTACTATGACGTCTTCTGGAATGTTTCCCGATTTGATTAGATCGGTGGTGCGTTGCAGGGTGGCTTTTCCAGACTTATCTTCGTCGCAGCACAGGAAAATATCGGAAAAATAACGTTGGAACGTTTCGGATAGATGTAGTTCGTCCATTTTTTTACATTTTCTTTTTGTTTTGGGTTAGTTGACGTTTGAAAAGTTTGGTTAGGTTGACTTGACACACATTTGTCAAGTTTGAGTAGACGCTCGAAGCAGTTTAATTGTTTTTTTTATCTCTGTTCTTTTCATCAAAAAGAAAAAAGATGGAAGATGATCCGAGTTCGTTGGATTTCAGAACAAAACGAATTCACTCCAAATGACGTCCAGAATCTTTAGGGGTGCGTTCGAAATCACCGTGGGCGTCACACCGAGTGCACACCAGCCATGAAAAATACATGGTGGTGTGCACATAATTTTTATGAAGGACCCCGACCAATCCCCGGACTAATCTTATGGAAAATGAAAATGGCTTTCGCTTTCGGTGAAACTCTTTGGTGAAACTAGACATGTGGTGGGAATCCGTGCCATGTAGAATTCGACATATCGAAACATATCCGAATATCGCACATAGGGCCGAGCCAAGAATCGTAAACTCTACAGGATACAGGATGAATCGGTTAAATTTGTTCAAAAGTGCTATGACGTCACCTGCATTCCAGATTCCAGATTTTCAAGATGGCCGCCGATACAGATGATAGTTGAGTTTCATTTTTTTCCATTTTCCAGGCATATCTATTTTATAAAGGGAGTGAATTCTGCGCCTACCGGTAGGTCCTGTTTGTTTCATTCATTGTGTGCCTACCGTATGTATAACGCTAAAACATTATGGAAGGTCCCCAATTACCACATGGCCTGTTCGCACAGCAATCACAAACCAGTCAGAGCGAATCTCATTGGTTGGAAACAGTCAGAAAACTAGTTTCAACCAATGAAATTCGCTCTGACTGGTTAGTGATTTCTGTGCGAACAGGCCTATAACGCCTATCGGTAGGTACTGTTTGTAAAAAAAATCCTGAACCTACCGGTAGGTTCATATTCATTTAAGAATCCTGCGCCTACCTACTTTTTATTAACCTACCTAACCTAACAATCTATAATAACATAAACTACAAAAAGAAGTACCTCACTTCGGTTTGCAACTCGATACGAATAACATCGTTTCGCTTCTTGTCCGGGTTTTAGCTATTTCAGAGCGAATTTCTACCTACTAATCTGTGTATTGTTTTCGTTTGAGTCCAGAGCTTAGGTAAGTTGAGCATTCTTAGATAAACTCACTTTTTCACCCTTGCTTTTGTTTTTTATTTTGCTTAAAAAAAAAAATTCAACTGGTGGCTATTGAATGGTTGTGGGATATTGAATTTTAATCATGGATGAATTTGGGGGGGGGCGACCCCCCCAGAAACGAGGGTTTGCCCCAAGAAATTATTAAAAATTTAGAAAAAATTAGCGATGTTGATGAATAGAATTGCAGGTTTGAATTCCCTTTTGTGACGTTCCCTTCAGGTAATTTCTTTGAGTGGAATTACATCACTAGATTGAAGTAGGCCTTGCTAATTTTATGCAAACTACTGGTTGAATTTTTATACTTTATTGACTAAATGGTTAACAAAGAATGGCGCCAGCTAATTTATGAGAAAATAATATTTCGCTAAAATTGCGCTGTGCGAGAGAAAAAATAAATGCGATGGGCGCAATGTTCTGCTTTGAGTGCTGCTGGCGACTGGCTCGGTGCTCGGTGACGAAGACCACGAAAGGGCCGGGCGGCACGACCGCGAACTAACACGATTCACTGACAGCTGATTCCAGAATATACGGCTAAAGTCGCGTATACACCATACTTGAAACGGCTGCGGACGCAAACAATAATTATTTCAAACTGAGGTTGCATTTCGGCGCTTAACATCCCGGCGGCCTTGAAAGTACCTACTTTCAAAAATTTACAAAAAAATACCTAATTAGCTGGGCGCAATACAGAAAAGTTTAAAGAAAGTCTTGTACAAGTCATTTGTGATAAGAAGTTATGAAATAATATCAAACTTTACAAAAATAAACATAAACTAAAGGTGTCTTTTAATCGTCCAGTGGAAGAACACTAAGTTTATTCACTGCACGTTTGGTTGTACCGTTTTTAGTTTTTAATGTCACTACCCTGACAATACCGTCTGTTCCTGGGTGAACATCAGTAATCCTTCCGAGGGGCCATTGTAGTGGAGAGGTATTATCTTCTTTGAGCACTACTAGTTTGCCAACGAGTTGCTGTGTGTGTCTCTGGAAACGCCACTTGTTCCGCTGCTGTAGATTATGCAAGTAGTCATTGGACCATCTTGACCAGAATATTTGAACCATTTTTTGTATGTGTTTAAAACGAGACAGCAGATTGACCTTAACTTCCTTCAAATCCAGTTGAGGTGGCGAGTTGAGAGCTTCTCCAATTATAAAATGGCCTGGGGTAATTGCTTCTAGGTCGTTAGGATCAGGAGAGAGAGGTACTAATGGCCGTGAATTGAGTATCGATTCAACTTGAGCAAGAAGTGTTGCAAATTCTTCGAAAGTTAGAGGCGTGTTGGATAAAGTGCGTTTTAAATAGTATTTGACAGATTTCACAGCCGCCTCCCAGATTCCTCCGAAAGTAGGAGACCTAGCTGGTATAAAACTCCATTGCATTTGGGAGTCAGTAAAGAAATTTTTGAACGGGATCACTATTTAAGATTGAATAGATCCTTTTGAATTCGTTGTTGGCTCCAATAAAGTTGGATCCATTATCGGAGAAGAGATTAGTAGCCATTCCTCGCCTTGACACAAACCTTCTGAAAGCAGCTATAAAAGCTTCAGTTGTAAGTTCGCTGACAGGTTCAATATGAACTGCCTTTGTGGATAGACATATAAATATGCATACATAGCATTTAAGTATTTTTCGGTTTCGGTATTTCCCATCTTTTAATAGAAAAGGACCACAATAATCAAGACCGCAATTAGAAAAAATACGACTAGGAGAGACTCGTTCTGAGGGCAGGTCTCCCATTTGAGGCAGAATGGTGGGTGGATCAGTCTTGAAACAACGCATGCATTTACGAATTACACTTCGAACAGTACCTTTGCCATTTAGCGGCCAGAATCTTTTTCGAATAAAAGACAAGGTAGCTTGCTGTTCTGAATGCAAGTTATATTCATGAAAATGTTTAACGATTAATTTTGTGAATGAATGGGTACTAGGTAAAAGTATAGGGTGTTTGTGGTTAAAGTTAATTTGAGCGTGTTTGAGCCGGCCTCCCACACGTAGAATACCACTGTCATCCACGAAAGGATTTAGACTGGCAAGTTTACTTTGAGATTTAACACGCTTTATTACCTTGAGATCGTGAAGCTCGTCTGAAAAGCACTCAGCTTGTACAATTTTAATCAAATAATTTTCTGTTGCAATACGCTCAGTAGGTGTGATATTAATCGAACTTGGTGACTGTTGTTCCGATTTGGATCTCTGGATAAATCTCAAACAATAAGATACCACACGCACAAGCTTGTTATAGTCGGAAAAACGTTGAAAAATACTGTAATTTATTGCGGTTGTTAATATTATTGTTTTGGGATTAAATTCAATCATTTCTGCTGAACACCTTGCAAAATTCGTTATGTGGCAATCCTCTGGCCAATTAACCTGAGGTTCGGACAAAAACTGGGGACCATGCCACCACATTGATGAATTTTCAAGATCGCCAGGGTCAATTCCCCGGGATATTATGTCAGCTGGGTTATAGTTTGATGCTACATGATACCAATTGTTGATGTCAGTAAGCTGCATAATCTCAGAAGTTCTGTTGGAGACAAATGTTTTCCATGTTCTGGGCTCGGAGCTCAGCCATGACAAAACGATTGTTGAGTCGGTCCAATAGGAAATAGAATTAAAATCAATGGAAATACATGAAATAACCTTATTCATGAGTCTCGATAAAAGTAATGCGCCTAATAGTTCCAATCTTGGCAATGAGAGAACTTTAAGCGGTGCCACCTTGGATTTTGCGGTTAATAGATTAACGGAAATGGCTCCATTTGGTGTTTCTGATCTGATGTAGATGCATGCACCATAACTATGAATTGAGGAGTCGCAAAACCCATGAATTTGAATATTTGTAGCATTTATTGCTATGACATGTCTAGGAATCTTGAGTACGTGAGCGTTGGAAATTACAGAAGCTAAATTTCTCCATGATTTGAATATGTGAACAGGGACAAGATCATCCCACCCTACCTTTGATATCCATAATTGTTGCAATAAAATTTTACCTTGTACTATTATGGGACCAAGCAAACCTAAGGGATCGAAAATATGGGAAATTGCTGACAGTATTTTTCGTTTGGTTATATTTTTCTCAATAGCAATTTTGGAACTATATTCAAAGCAATCGGAAGTAGGATTCCAGTTTACGCCAAGAGTTTTATTTCCGTGAGATTCGTTAACAAGTTGTTTTGTATTGCTTATAGCAGAAGATTTTAAATCATTTAATACGCTAGGATCATTGGAACTGAATTTTCGTAACTCAAATCCAGCACCTTTGAGTATTGAGGATATATTTTTTCGAATTTCGATAAGCTCTGTAGCACATTTCACCCCGGTTATAAGATCGTCAACATAAAATTCGTCCATAAGTATTTTAGATTCTCTAGGAAATTGGGGTTGAGATTCAATTGCAATTTGTTTTAAGCACCTGGTAGAAAGAAAGGAAGCAGATGATGTACCATAGGTTATTGTGTTTAGTTCATAATGATTAAGTTCTTGTTGTTGATTATCTCGCCATACAATTCTTTGTAGGCTGCGCTCTTCAGGCCTAATTAGGATTTGGCGGTACATTTTAGCTATGTCACCAATTAATACAACGTTATGTTGCCTGAAACGCAATAAAATTGAGAAAAGATCATTTTGTATGGTTGGCCCTACCCTGAGGACATTATTAAGTGAAATGCCAGAAGTCGTTTTGGCAGAGCCATCAAATACGACTCTGAGCCTAGTTGTAGTGCTATCCTCTTTTTCTACCGAGTGATGAGGGAGGTAATATGTTGGAAATGTCGGAGGTTTTAGAGGGTCTATCTTTGTCATGTGACCTAAAGTTTGGTACTCAGACATAAATTTGGTATATTC